ATTTATGTTTCTACATTAAAGTTGTATGAATCACTATCAAATAATATTAAAAGCATTACATATTACAGGTATTGGGATTTATTTACAGGTATTCTTATTGTAAACAAAACTTTAAAACAATGGGAAAAAGGGTAATGGAGACCCGACTTTCAACATACAAACAAATCGACTTACAAACAGCCTCTCGGTCCCCATTATGTTCTTAAGTTGGGCACTTACTGTATATATATATATATATAAGTATGTATAACATATTTTTATTTCTATTTTCTTCTATTAGGTATTTTCTGCTGTACCATTCACCCAGTACCATCCAGAGACAGTTGATGACCAGGCTGGTTATGAAAAGCTTGAAGTTAATAGAAACGTTGGTCATTTTGATACATATAACTTTGACCACATCAGCTTCTATGTTGGCGACTATTTGGCTGGTATGTATTATATTATAGATAAGATGTGATGCTTTGTTTGTTTGTTTTACATCTGTAAGGAAATTGCACAACTGTGTATTAATGATCTTTGATGATTTATATAAATGTATCACACAAATATGCACACTAATGTTCACGGTAAATGCAGAGACAGAAACAAATATGCAGATATACATACATTATAGATATACATCACATTCAGCACAGAACCTCTCATACTCTCTCTCTCTCTCTCTCTCACACACACACACACACACACACACACACACACACACACACACATACATATATATATTTATATAGGTTTATATTCATATATATTTATACTTATATATATTTGTATTTATTTATATTCATATTTATATATTTATATTTATAGTTTTTTATATTTACATATTTATATTTATAGTTTTTTTATATTTACATATTTATATTTATAGTTTTTCTATATTTACATATTTATATTTGTATATTTATATTTATTTGTATTCATATTTATTTATATATTTATATTTATATTCATATTTATATATTTATGTTTATAATTTTTATATTTACATATTTATATGTATATTTATAGTTTTTTATATTTACATATTTATATGTATATTTATATATTTATATTTTTATATTAATATTTATATTTTTATATTAATATTTATATTTATAAATTTATATTTATGTATTTATATTTATATTTATATATTTATATTTTTATTTATATATTTATATTTATAAATTTATATGTTTATATTTATATTTATATATTTATATATTTATATATTTATAATTATATATTTATATTTATATATTTATATTTGTATATTTATATATTTATATTATATATTTGTATTTATCCACCAAAATCGAGGCCAGCACAAATATTAAATTCATGGTGAAACTTGGTTGGGAGAATAGGCAAATCATTGATGCTCTGGAAATAAGTTTATGGTAACAACAACCTACAAATGGATAGATTGGTTCAGAATTGGAGGAAACAAAATTGAAGATAAGCCCCAAAAACAAACACACAAACACGTACGCACTCGCGCACGCACACCCACCCCCCCACCCCACCCCCACACACACACACACACACAGAGGCCAGTGGCAGGCCATCAACATCAATTTGTGAGGAAAACATTGGTGTCATTGAAAAGGATAGACAAATAACTGAATCAGTAGCAGACACACTCAACATCTCTGTGGGTTCTGCTCACACAATTCTGATTGAGAGTTTGGGACTAAGCAAGCTTTCTGCTCGATGGGTCCCTAGGCTGTTGCACTTAGATCAGCAGCAAACAAGGGTAGATCTTTCATTGGAAATTTTGAACAAGTAGGATGAGAATTCTGAAGCTTTTCTGCAGAGAGTTGTGAAAGGGGTGAAACATGGCTATACCAGTACGATCCCGAGGACAAAATTCAATTAAAAGTAAAATCTGAGTATTCAAGAGGAAAGGTCATCACGATGCTCGATAAACTAGAGCTGTGCTACATGAATTTTGATGGGAAATCGTCTGACAACCATCTTACATCCCCAATTTTACCCCATCTGACTTCTTTTTGTTTCCAAATTTTAGATAATCATTGAAAGGTACCAATTTCTCATCGGTTGAAGATGCAAACAGAGTTGCTCTGTCAAGGATCAGATCACGTGATTTCCAACTGGTGGTGATGTGTTATTAACTGCATTTAAGGGTTTGTGTTTGAACACATTATAACATGGTACAAGACTTCAGGTGCATTGAAATCATGATTCTTCCGTATGATATGTAGTTGCAGACTTTATCCAGGAACTTTTTGAGGCTCCCTCTCTCGTGTGTGTGGGTGTTGGTGTGGGTGGGTGTGCGTGTGCGTGTGTGTGTGCGTGTGCGTGTGCGTGTGCGTGTGCGTGTGTGTGTGTGTGTGTGTGTGTTTTTTTATGTCTATGAATTTTTATTTTTGGATGCAGTTTATTATATATTCATATGTATAAAAATATTTTTATATCTAAATATTAACTTTTTTTTGTTTTTTGCTTATTTATATATTGATATCTATAGTTATACATTTCTTGTATTTGTATACTT